CTATAATCCTGAGCTAGATAGGTTTTCAACATTTTATAAAATATATATACCACTTCAATACATTCCATTTTATTGAGTTACATCATTTAGATTGATATATAACTCATTCTCTCCAAACCACCATGATTTATAACTTATTTTATGCTTCACAGTACCTGGGTAAAAGCTAGGCACATAGCTTCAGAAACCATACAGTCAACAAGAATCTAATAATCATATATAAAATTTTGACCTAACAACAAAAAGACAAATAACCCAATCACAAAATTGGCAAAAGACTTGAAAAGGCATTCTACAAAAGAGGACATTCAAATGATGCTCAGAGATGTAAAGCAAAACCACAGTGAGATACCATTACACTGCCACTAGGATGACTAAGAGTTATAGAAAGAGAAAAACAACAAATACTGTTGTTGGGAATGCAAAATGGTATAGCCTCTAATGGTACGAAGGAGTGCTATGAGGTGGGACCGACTCAATGGCACCTAACAAAAAGTTTCCTTCATATTTTAAGATTCGAATCAGAACAGACTACAACCAGGAAAACTATACTTGTAGTGAACCATATTCCAGGTCTTTGACACCACTTTTTAACCTCCTCTGAGCAAGATTTTGACTCTTTTCCCTGCACTATTTCTGGTTTGCTTGCCAAACCTTATAGGAAATGTAACTCTGATCCCATCATCTTTTTATACACCACTGAATACTGGTATCTTGCTGATGAATGCCACCACTCGAAGTGTGTTTGCTGGTATTGGGAGCAATTGGCACACTTGCTCTCAGGAGACAGCTGCCATCTTCTTTCCTAGATCTTCCTGACTCCTGTTTGCATGCTGGGCTCCTTTTGAGAGGGGATTTCTCACTTGTTTGAACTTTCATAATGAGTATATTTTAAAAATGTAAAGATACACATACACACACAAACATACACATTAAATATCCTTAATGGCTGAAAGTGAAGAGGACTTGAAACATTTACTTATGAAGATCAAAGAGCACAGCCTTCGGTATAGATTACATCTCAATGTCAAGAAAACAAAAATCCTCACCACTGGATCAATAAACAACATTCTTATC